TATATATATATGTAAATAAATATTTAATATATAGAGAGTGAGTTAGAGTAAGAGTGTGTGTGTGTGAGAGAGAGAGTGTTAGATATTGATTTTTCTTTTATAGAGGGCCACAGGTTTGTCAGTTTTTAGTACTGTTACGTGTTTACCCTCTTTAAATAAAGTTTATTGATTGATTGAATTAAATATCAAAAATTTAAAGTACAATGAAAAATGGAAATACTCACTCCATCTATCATTTCAAGAGAAGGAATCATCTTATGAAGCTGCTGATGATACCTGTCAATCAATGATGGATTAAGATATTATTGCCAGAATATTGTTTAGCACAGTAATGCATGGCAAGACACATCCGTACTGCATGCTTTTCAGAGACATACAAGACCTACCAAACATTTGGTGTTAGATAAAGRTTGTTCTAAGTCAACTCCTATGCAGTACTTGTATTACATATTCCTTAATTTCATGCAGTATGTTTTTAAAATACCTACCCAGCATCTTCTATTCTAATGCACGGGTTCCCTGGAAATAGAAAATAATGAGGTGAGACTGGTTCCAAATTTACAGTAGCTAGGGCACTGGGAAATGGTTGCAAAGGAGATACTTAAAAACAGTGACACAAAATGATTTCACTACCCAGAATTGAGGGCTGTAAGCTGTGATATCATATAATGTTATTGTATTCTATAAAGTTAATGATGAGAATTACAAAGCATCTAACATACCTAAAACAGACAGCTCAATGAGACTTGACTCTGTCAGAGGAGACTGGCAAAAAAGATATAATCAATACCACTGTCTTGATTAATATTATCAAATTGAAAGAAAGATTATAGTAGTAAGAGGCTTGATTCAATCTACATTTGTTTTAATCCAACTTTTTATTCGTTTTATAATCAATACCACTTGATTAATATTATCGAATTGAATGAAAGATCATAGTAGTAAGAGGCTTGCATTCAATCTGCATTTGTTTTAATACAAGTTTTTTTCCATTCTTTTACCTTTGGGGTATTCCGAATTGAAAAGAATGGGGAGGCTTAAGTCATACCTTTTAAGGTTCTAAATCTTTGATTTGGTACCTCTACTAAGGGTATCATCCAATTAAGGACCATCAGAGAGTAAGCTGGTACCTCTTGGGGTTTTGTCAGGGTACAGGATACATGAGATTAATTAATGGGAGTACCTCCTCCCCCAACCCCCCCCCCCTGCGGGTTTCTTTCTTTGCCTTTTAATATTTCAAAGATATTAGTCAGAATTATTCATGAAAATAAACTGCAATATCATAATATTAGGTATACTTACAAAGTCATCTAAAGATGCAATTAAATTATGGCAAACATTAAGAACTTCTAGAGAAGGGAACTGCTGATTAATGTCCTATAGATAGGGAGAAAAATGTTGGAAATTTGTTAAAACATTGAACTTATTATAAGTGAGAAATATTCATTCATTTTTGTTATTCTATTTTAGAAAAAAAAAAAAAATCAATTATTTCAGTTACATCCAATTCTCCATTTTTATTATATCTTCTCAAGGATAACTGGTTTAAAAAAAATACTCAAGAGTATTAATGGAAGAGTAGAGTGAAATGGGCTAATATATTATTCATTAATATAATATTATATGTTGAAATGTTAGAGTATTGTGTACAAACTTCTTCATGCATAAGTTTCCTTCTTATTCACTTATGGCTAATAATGATACCTTTAAGGATGAAACTCTGTTGTGTGAAACATACAGCTCTTGCAAATTCCTACCAAATTAGAAAAATACCAGCAGTAGATTAATATTAGGGGACAGTAAGGTTTCAAATAGTGACTCCTAAAAAAAATCTACAAAGCTTTCGCTGTTGTACCACAGCGTGGGACAATCACAACAGAGCTAGGCTCCAAGCTAGGTGAAAGCCCAAAGATCGCATATAGAATTTAGAAGTTGATTTTTGAGGAGGGAGGAAAACCGGAGAACCCGGAGAAAAACCCTCGAAGCACAGGAGAGAACCAACAAACAACTCTACTCACATATATGACATCGATATCGGCAGGACTCAAAATTGGGCCGTATTAGTGAGAGGTGGCGCATTAGCAGCGCACGCCACTGGTGCTTCCCAAACATACTCCTAATAAGAACACAATCATACTGTTCCTCTCACACTATCTGAGAAGCCACTAATATTTCATGACGTATCTCTCAGTTGCTAGTAAGAAATGAAAGGGAGAGAACGAAATAAATACCTTAGCTTCCCCACTGAATTAAATGATGTAACCTGATTGTTCTCAAGGTGAAGGATCTTGATAAGAGCAAAGATTACATTAAGATATTACTGTATGTTATATATTTTTGGTCAGTATTTGATATGACAAACACATTACACATGTTGTAAACCCAGAAAATAGGTTAGTAGTGTGAAAGCTAGGTAAAAAGTAATAAAAAAAGATTGAAGAAACATATTAATTACCTAAAATGATTGTACATATATCAGTAGCATCAATGAAAATGCAATGTATACATTAACGAAGTATATAATTCTACTTACATTGAGGTTCACAAGGCCCTGTAGACCAGACAGATCATGAATCTGATTTCTTGATAAATCTAGTTCTTGTAACTAGTTAATAAAAAAGAAGCTGTTTTAAGTGTTTTAAGTTTTAATTTTGCATATTAATTTATGCAATGGCATTTGTATGTTTAACAGAAACATTCAATGCAAAGTTTTAATTTTACCAAAAAAGGCGGGTAAATGCTCATTTGATTGGAAAAAGTCTGTACATAGAAGTATGTGAATACAATACAGTGAATCACACTGCAATTCTTAAAGAGTACAGTGTTTAGGTGAACAATGTTTTACCATTGCCTTTTTTTGATAGCAGCCTTTTAATAGGAAGATATCGCTACAGCTGAGCATTTGTTTTTTAATTATTTTATTTATTTTATTTTTATCGCCTTTTCTATGATGAGGAATTTTTTCACAATCAATGCAATATGCTGTATTGTAATGTTGGTGATTACAGTAGTACTTACATGTCTACATCTACTGACAACAGGTATCTTAGTGAGTTGATTAGCAGCAGCATCAAGTTCCTCTAGAGTTGTCAAGGAATTAATAGCCTGTAAAAGAGATTAATATATGTATTAATGTAATATTCATTAATTAAAAGTAACTGGACAAAATGACCAGCAAGGCAAAGATTTGACCTGACGTGTCCCCGTTCTGCCTGGATATTGTCCCATGCCTGGCCATTATCTTAAGCCCTGAGAGAGTAGCAAACCACTTAACCACTAAATCATAAAAATAGATAGTGATTCTTAGGRGATCAGTCACTTATAAAGTTTCAGCAAAGATTATGGATCTTATTTAACCTGGTACTTACAGAAATATCAGTGAGCCTGTTATTACTGATATCTAACACAGCAAGCTGACCACAGCATCCAATCTCACGGTGATCAATACTCGATAGCAAGTTACTATCCAGTCTTAGGATCTTTAGTTTTCTCACACTTTGTAATCCTTTACCTATATGCAGAGGGAGAGAAACATGTTATTTGTTTATGATTGGGATTCCTGTGGTTGGGGATTCCCCTTCTTTTTCCTTAAACACAGGAGTCCCAGCTCTTAGTAGCAGCAAACAATCAAGAAGAAAAAGAAAATTTCAAATTATAGAAAAAGAATATTATTATTTATCTATTATATTCACTAATACATAAATATAAATAGATATAGAAGGAGTAGGGTGCATTTACCAATTGTCTTGATTCTATTATGTTGTAAGAGAAGCACTTGTAGTTCTTTAAGCCTGTAAACATACACATACAAATACATGCTCAACTTAATCTATCATCAGGCATAAATATATTTATATAATGATTATAGAATGAAACCATGATACCTTTCCATCCCAGTAATTTCTTCAATCTTATTTGAATAAAGCTTCAGCTCCTTTAATTCCTGAAAAAATAAACACATAGTTGAAGTTAAAATTGATTGTTTCTTGTATCTTTACTAGTATACTAGGGGTAACCTCAGGTTTGGGATTGTGGGAGTAGAACATTGGTGGAAGATATTCTTAATTTATTTGAGAGGCTTGAGTAGCTATTCATAAATGGAGAGGCAGATGCAAGTGAGTATTTAGTGATTTGGTTGGTTGTGAATTCCCTCACATACGCGTGAAAACCTGTTTGAGCACTGGCCTAATCTTGTAAGTCTGCATTCCTCACATTCTTTACATTCCAGTTGGAAGTCGAAAACTCTGAAAAGCTGTCTAGTCTCTCGTATTCCGCTGGCCCAGGCCACTTGGTGTTTTCTCGTCAAGATTATGCTTGCATGCTACTCTTATCGCCCGCAATAAATAGCATGTAAAGTACAGCTGTGGATTGTACTGCAACTATACTTACACTAGAGGTTTCTAATCCAGTAATATTTGGGATTGCATTACAAGATAAATCCAATATCCTGACTTTGGTGAACTACAAGTAAAAAAAAATGCATGATAAACATCTGATGCCTAGCCTCATTCAGATCMAGGAATGGAGAAGTATGATATATGTGCATGGGCTGAAATAGGGGGTGGGGTCCACGGCCCCTATTAATGATGAAGTAAATGTATTTCTTCCTCCCCTTTCTCTGATTCCTGTATCTGCTCCTGATTTTAGGGGAAAATGTGGGGTCTCACTAATAGCTAAATATTTCACCTGTGCGTATGATAATGCAGGACTGAGTTACCTGTTTAAGGTTTGGGATTTTCTTCAACTTCTGAGCATGGAAGTTTATTTCAAACACTTTATTACAATCTTTCTCTTGGGCATTTTCGAGCTGGAACGCAAAAAAGAAATGATAGCATTGAAATATATTTTGCAAAATATCTTGAAGCTGAAAATGCACAGGTGTATAGAGAAGTACAGGACAACTGCTGGGTGGGGAGGGGGGAGACCAGAGAATAAACTGTGATCTAGGTACAGTAGGTACACAACTTAATATCGTAATATGCACTGTCAACTTACAATCTGTGCTGGAGTTACTGAGCATTCATCTTCTACCTCATCGCTCTGTTTTTCAACAGGCTTTCCCTGCTGCTGCTGCTTCTTCGTGCGGGTTGTTCTTGATGTAGTAGCAGTTGTATCAGATTTAGGTCGTGCTTTCTTGTTGCTATTTACAGACGTATTTCTGACATTTGTAGCAGAGCCGCTCAAACCAGCGCGGGCAAACATGATAAAGAAAACAATTACATTTTAACAGAACTACAGTGATACTTGGTTACCTGATAAGGCATATTATATTAATATTCTTTTTCAAAGCTTCGGATGCATGAAACGCAGATTAGAATAAAATAAGGTGAGTTTTGGGCAAGAAACATTAAATTTATGTTGTTTCTAGGACGCCATTTTGCATTTTACCCACAATACATTGTAACATATTATTGACCATCATTCATTGCAAACCACAATTAATGATTGTGATGAAGATGATTGTAAATAATATTTATGAAAAAATATGCCTAAGAGAAATGAAATTACGCGCTGTTGAATGCCCAGAATTACCCACCCCTCTCCAGCGGGCTCGGATTTAAAGTGAAAGTCGAAAATGAGAAAAGGATAAAATTAACTTAATGGAGGTAACTATCTCCATAGCACGAAAGAGTGGGGGGGAAAATTAATAAAAACGCGCTAGTACGACTTTTTTTTTGCGCTTTTGTTTTTTCTCGATTTTACTTTTATCTAAATTGGGCTCCCTGTGCCCAAATGAATGTCCGCAGGAATGTGTCCCAGAATACCTTGCAAGTAAGTTAGCAAAATGGCGGCTGTATAGGTATGTTGGTAAAATCTTTCGTCAAATCTAGGGGGTTTTTAACCCCTTAAAATTATACAGAAAGTAGAACTTTCTAATGCACATGGTTTTTAATTTCAATGGTTGTTCGTAAGATAATGAAAAAGAAAGGTTTTCGTCGCGGGTCGAGAGACAAAGAGCAAGTGTGGCGGGAAAATTGAATTCTAATTTAGATGAAGCTAGTTATGGTCTTTTTCGTTAACCGCCTTAAAATATTATCAAAAAACAATGCGTATTCTTAATGTCGCCGAGAAAAATGATGCCGCTAAGGAGCTGTCGAGGATTATGTCTCGTGGACAAGTCAGAAGGGTGAGTAAATATGTTTTTAAAAGTTTTAATCAGTAAAAACAAAATAAAGTTTAATGAACTTTTGTCAACAGTCTTTTGTTTTTCATATAAAAGGGTCAGGAGGGAAGGAATATTGATGACGCTTCTTAACTCATTATATGAGTGAAGCTTCATAGACTAAACTTCTTTGGTTATTCTATATTTTTTAGAGAGAGGGATTTTCCAAGTTTAACAAGATTTACGAGTTTAATTATAATATTCTCAACACGGTAAGTTGGATATTGATTGATTGAATAGACCCCTTGCATGTGACGTCAAAGGAGCTCAATTTGGAGGACAAAACAAAAGAATTTCGATCTCAATTGATAATTGGAAACCTATTGTTATGTCCTCCAAATTGAGCTGCATTCTGATGTGTTGCGAGGGGTCTATTATTAATTTAACTATTGCATTTGAATTATTTACTGACATTATTGACACATATATTGATGGTTTTCTGACTACAGAATGCACAGATGGTCATGACCTCAGTTTCAGGTCACCTTATGGGACTTGAGTTCAATCAAGCTTATAGGAAATGGTAAACATGTTATTATTAAGATCTTGAAGAAATAAGACCTCTTCAACTTGAGGGCCATATACACCGATTCGGTTAATCTGGTCTTAACTGCACCACTCTTTGCCTTCAGAACCATTTTTTACCCTCATAAAAATAATTATTACAAGAAGAAATTTAAAAAATACAGGACGACCTTTTTTAAGTTTCAAGTTTCAAGTTTATTTTTACAAAATAATGACTATATGTACACAATTTATCACCCTCCCGCAAATAGCATAAAGCTAATCTAGGCGGGAGGCGATATATTACATTAAATAAATATTAGAAGATTTACAAATAAAATATGATGATAAATAAATGAAAAACTAACAGTTTACTTAAAATATAGAAACGAAAAGGGGAAAAGAAAAAAAAAGGAGAAAAAGGAAAAATGATACTAACCAAATATTTTAAGAACCAGACCACTGTCTAAGTGGATGCTACTACCTTGCTTAGGTGTACTCTTTTCCCATTTCAGACCACGTGCCACTACTTTATGATTTCATGAGAAGATCGATACATGAACACTGATACAACTTTAACAGAGAATCTTATTTTGAAGAGAATGATACATGGTCTGAAATTAAATGTGAAAACATTATGGCCAAAGTTTATTTAACTATTTTTTTTCTGGATAATTATTATAGGAGCAGTTGTTCTCCTTTGGAATTGTTCAGTGCTCCTGTAGTTAAGATGGTACCAGAAGACTTTCAAAAGATTAAGGTGAGAACCCATATAAATCCAATACTTACTAATACTTATACGGTCGGGATTAGCCTCAAAAACAGGAGGTTGTCAACTAACCTTTACAGAGCTCCAAATATATAGTGGCCTGCCAAAGGCCAAATGATAGGCCAAATTTCAGGTTTGGCATTTGAAAATAATGATGCACTGCCAAATGAATAATGAAATGGCAGGCAAATGTTACTGGAATGTCCCCCTTTTACCATTCTTCTTTACTATGGGAGGCTAAAAAAATTTYTATTTTGAGCCCTGCTTTACCAGCTGATATTTGTTGACAAGTTTTCCACACTGGCCAATGAAAAAACCCTTTATCCTCCTCACACAAGGTAATCATGATACATATTGTTATTTTTTTCAAATATTTGCCTAAGTGTGTTTTTTTTAACAACAGAGGACATTAGAACGTGAAGTGCGAGGTTCGCAAGCCCTCATCATATGGACTGACTGTGATAGAGAAGGAGAAAATATTGGCTTTGAGATCATTGAAGTGTGTACGAAAGGTTAGGAAAGATCTGAACTTGATCTCTGACTTATAATTTAGGAAAATACTAGTCAAAGTATTTTAAGAGTGTGATGCTAAGTCAAAAAGTTGAGAAAAAACCTTGTTGTTTTTCACTGTCCATTACAGTCGGTTTCACATAATTACTTTACACCTTCAGGTTCGGAACTATGTTTGGAAAATCTCAAGTTGGCAACCAACTTCGGAACTTTGAAACGAAGGTCATCATGAACTTCTGAACTTCCCGCTGAAGTTCAGAACTTGGTTGGCTTATTTTGCAGCAAACAAACTTTATTTTCAACCAGAAACTTCTGAATTTTCTTTGGGATATTCATTCAGGAACTTTAAATTCTACATACTAAACCAAGAGAAGTTCTAAAGTTCATAACAAACTTAGTTTGGAAGTTCCGAAATTGGTCGCCAGCTTAGGAATTTCTGAACATAGTTCTGAACCCTAAGGTGTAAATTAATGTGAAACCAACTGTAAGAAAATATGTCTCACTAATAAGATAACTTGCTATAATCTATTTTTCAGTTTGTCCAAGAATCAAGCTCTATAGAGCAAGATTTTCCGAAATAACTCCCCAGTAAGCACAGTACATCCTAGCAAATGAATTTTTGGGTTGCACATTGCATAACCACATTTATCATCATTGACATTGACAGGTCAGTCAGTAGAGCATGTGCTAATCTTATTGCTCCCGATAACCTGCAGTCAGAAGCTGTGGATGTCAGAATTGAGCTGGACTTGAGAATTGGTAAGGATAATACCAGGATAGTGTAAAATAAAAATATTAAAATTAAATTGAATATATAACTGTTATTCAAGAATATAATGCAAATCCCACATTAAGGAGAATTTCTGAAAGGTGTATGTGAAACATAGATACTTGTAATCATGTATGGAACTTCCTGGAAATGGATCCTGGTAAAATGGGCACCCTGTGTGGTTTGCCTCAATGTGATGTCTATTCAAAGAGCTTAAAATAGTGACTGATTATTCACCTGTCATTCACTATACAAATTACCTGGTAATTCTACAATCTTGGACAAAAAGAGTTGAGAATTTTTCATCCAATCATGAAATACTAGAATTTACCTTATTAAAAAAACATATTGTCCGTACCCCCTCTCCCCCAGGACAATGTTGGTCCCAGTGGGTAAAGCAGCCCAGTATCCCTCGAAACAACATTGTAAAGGGGGAAGAGGGGGTAATTTTAAGGGGAAGTTTTCATTTTTTTAAAATGAAAATACCATTAAAACTGAAAAATTCTCAACATTTTTGACCAAGATTGTAGCTCGGCCATACCTCATTTCTGGCTCAGCATTACTGGTCAAAAGGCAAAGATTTTACCAATCAAATACCCATTCTTGCAGAACATTGTCTGATCACTGGCCATGATTTTAAGACTTGATTCAAGATTTGATATTTATATCAATAAAATGAAAAGTCTTTTTTTCTGTCTATCATCGCAGGTGCTGCATTCACTAGATTTCAAACCCTCAGACTACAGAAAGTTTTTCCTGGTGTCTTGAGTGACCAACTCATAAGCTATGGCAGCTGTCAATTCCCTACCCTTGGATTCGTTGTTGATAGGGTATGGAAAAGTAAATTAAGTGATTATAAATTATAATACTTTAGGGTGTGGTTGTATAATAGACCTTATTTGTCATAGTGCAGTGTTTTCTCATCTTAGGCCCTGTATCATTCCCAAGAGTGTTATTTCTTTGTTTAATGGTTTCACATAGGAAGCCACATAAAATATGGATATTGCTGAAACAAAGAATCTCATGGAATCTTGTTCTCAAGAGAATGACACAGCTAAATTGTGTAGTTCCAGAAATTATCCTTCCCCCCCACCCCTGAGGAATTTGGAATTTCTGAGGGGCGAGGGATCAGAGAAAGGACAAATTACAGAGTTTGTTTGAAAAAAATTGGAAATTGGGAAAATATTAGCCTATATGGATTAGGTCCATTGTAACAAAAATTAATAATATCGCATGCCTATGTATAATACGTCCCTTTAATTGTTGCTTGTTATCGATTGTTTTGATTTCTTTATTCCAGTATAAACAGGTTCAACAGTTTGTTCCTGAGCAGTTCTTCAAAATAAAAGGTATATAATAATAATAATAATAATAATAATAATAATAATAATAATAATAATAATAATAGGGATATTTTCTCACCAATGTTTGGAAATTACAATTATAACAGTCCTGCAAGTATCAAGTCCAGCAAAAGTTGTAAGCGCTTTTCTTCCTGTCACAAATTGTTTTTACCCAACAATCAAATTTCTGTTTTGTCATACCTCTAGTGATGCTGTAATTTGATGGTATTAATTTTACTTTAATTCTATACCACCCTGCTTAACCCACCTCCCCTCCCTTCTCTTTATCCTCCATTAATATTGAATGAATTCCTTTCTTTTCAGTCACCCATGAAACACCAACAGCAAAAGTAGATTTTGTATGGAAAAGGTAATCCGGTTCCTGGTTGTGTTCAATATGTGATAAGTTCAAGCCTTTGTTGGACTTTGTTTGATTCATGTAGTATTATTATAATATTTGTATTGCTAACTAATTGCTAAATAAATAACCCCTGGCCATTAAACTAATTACAGGGACTGCCGAGTATGTTTTAAGTGGGGTTTCTAATCTGGAGGTCCAGTTAGGGGAATGCCCAATAGAGGCTTTCTAATCCTTTCTAATGTAAATCAGATTAGACCAGAATCAATTGCTCCTGCTTCTGTTATGGCTGCCATCACGCGATGGTGCAAAGCCTCTATTGCAATTTATTGCTGTGTATTTATTCATAAATTAACTTAGGCAAATCATAACAAAATCTTTTCTGTCTAAAAACGTATGGGGCTAAAACTCCCCCTTTTGCTTCCATGGTCCCAGATCAAGCATTAAGTATCATATATTTATATATTATATTAAGCATTTCATTTCTAATATTTATTTTGTTTCAGAGGAAGATTGTTCCTTCATACACCCTGCCTTATCCTTTATCAAATGTGTCTAGAGGTAAAGAGCTTTTACTGTACTTGTTAGTGTATTCTATTCTCTCCTGCTAGCAATTCTGCCAGTAAGGACGTGAAGTGATAACCTACCTTGTTCTTGTTTTAGAATCCAACAGCAGTCGTTACAAATACTTCATCTCGTCCCAAGAGCAAGTGGAGGCCGCTGCCTTTGGATACGGTGGTATGTACATGATATTTGATATTTTATGAAATTGCCCATAAGTAGGATATTCAGTATTTACTGTATTATTTTCCCCAGGAATTAGAGAAATTAGCATCAAGGAAACTGAGGATTAGTGCCAAAGAAACCATGAAGATTGCCGAGAAACTCTACAATCAGGGGTAAGAGGACACTGAGTAATTATATTTTCTGGTCGCTTAATTTCCTTGTATCACCGTACTGCTGCCACTCACAGTATACTAGTATAAGTGTACATTATACTTTGTCTAGTTATTGTTAGTTGTTTTAATCATCTGCTTTGTTGGGAAGTGAACTCATTCATAAGAAGTCCCAAAGAACTTTCTGACTCCTGTGACAAGAAAAAGTATTTAAACACTTCAAATCTTATATTCGATACCCTGAAACAATGTCTGGGCTGATCAAAGGCATGGCTAACTCACAGATCAAACCCTGAAACAACCTCTGGGCTGATCTAAGTCAGGGCATGGCTAACTCACAGATAGAACCCTGAAACAACCTCTGAGCTAATCTAAGTCAGGGCATGGCTAACTCACAGATAGAACCCTGAAACAACCTCTGGGCTGATCTAAGTCAGGGCATGGCTAACTCACAGATA